ATGACATGATAATGGCAAGCTGCAGTTGGTAACCAATGAGATTATTAGAGGCCCATGTAAATTTACATAAGGAAGTCTTGTTACTAAAATAGTCACTGCAAACCCTGGCAGACGTAGATACTTCTTCAGGTTTTCAGCAAACCTGAGAAGACATCTTAAATAAATTGTTTGTGGTAAAAAAAAAAAATAAATAAAAAAATCAAACAACTCAAATATTTCATTTTTTGAAACTTAACTGATGTAAACAATCGAACCATCTGAAAGAACAAAAGCACCATGCTATTCTTTTGGTTTTGTTTTAGGGTTTAGTGTAAAGTGGAGGAAACCTTTTTCTTTGTAGTGAGTCTCACATCACCAATGGGTTGGTACCTTTTGGAAAGGTACAAAGAGGCTAAGAAATCATTGGATTTTTAGGGTGAGAGTTCTTACTTGCTTAACCAGGGAGAACTGTGAGAAAGGTCTGTTGGGGCCCCTGGGACAGCCCTCGATGGGACAGCAGTAAAGTTTTTGTGAGCCCTTCATCTCCTTTCTGACTGTGGGGTTGACAATTCCATCCTGAAGAGGTTAGTCACAGCAAAAAGCCAAAAGACAACAACAACAAAAAAGACATTTAAAATAGTTGCATTTGTTTTTTTGTTTTTTTTTTACACGTTAAAGATGTACAAGTCTTTGATTCTGATTCAACAAATGCAGTAGTGATTTAAAAGGTATTTCAAAACTACAAAGTTAACAAGAAGTTAAAATTAAACCAAATACACTTAGTTAAAAAAAATGTAGGTAAAATTGTGTGTGGTTAATCATTTCATGGTTGTAACAATGCTTCTTTACAATAAATACTGTATGACACTGAGAGCACATTGACTGAATTGCCACAAATGCTTGTTGAGAAACTGGATGACATCCCTAAGCAGAGTGTGACGAAGCTGCTGACCAGCATGAGGACGACGTGCCGGGCTGTTGTGACTGTGTGCTTTTCCTACAGTCTGAAGCCCCATTTTTTTTTTTTTTTATTAAATCAATACATTGTTAAATTATCTACAACCCACATATGCATTTTTCTTATAAGTCACCACTTGAAGATGAACTATGAGGCTTCCTTGAGAAAGTTATGATATATCTGTGGGCTATATAAAACATGTTCATTACATTTTTTTGCACAAACAAGAGAATTTAGCAAAGACATAAGATTCTTTGTTATGTTACCTAAAGAATCAATCAAGCACAAATGCTATTACCATTTCTGATATGTACGTTTACTTTGGCTTGAACTTACATTTTGTTTTAGCTGACAACTCATAGAATGACTTGAAAAACAATATCATTAGCTGTAACAGATAAGAAAGCAAAAATATTTGAAGTGCCACACATAAAACATTTATTATTTTTTTCAAGATGTGTTGCCATCGTGACTTCTCTTTAATGCATTTCAAGGACCTCAGTTGTTATATTCAGTAAAACAGATTAATATCCCCAGGAAGCGCCACTAAATGAATTCGACACATCATAAACAGGCAGCACCACTGCCACAACAAACACTGTCATCTTTCAGCAGCCAAGGTCATCTCCATCTGGTGAAACGCTAGAGGGAGAAGACAAGCTGAGGATGATGATTAAAGGGCCCTCTGCTTTATCAGCGAGAAGAGAGAGAGCAGAAAGCCCACATGAAGAACTGTTGCTCTTCCTGCTGGCCGCCTTGGATCCGTCACCTTATGGCTAAGTGCTGAAGCCTACTTAAAGTAAAAAAAAAAATATTTGTTATCAGCACGTAGCTAAAAAAGCTAGCTGATCTACAACTGTTACGTAGTGATTGCAGGGATCATTTCTCTCCTCTGAGAAACTGTAAAATACAATTATGAGTGGCAATAATAGTCTGGAGCTACTCTATGGCAAGAGAGATGGCCAAACCAAAACATTCCGTCTACCTCTATGAAAACACCAACACCAGGCCTCGGTTTGGCAGCCTCAAGTCGTGAATAATTCAGAAAAAAGAAGTGCAAAGTGAGAAGCAGCAGCATCCAAGAAGTTTATCACCACTGGACTATCATCATCACCACTAATAGCAGTTTCACAAAGGAGCGTATTGATCTGCCTCCAAGTTTTCACTCAAATTAAATGTCAGAGTTTGCTCCTTTCTTTCATCTGAAAATCCATTGCAGATACACTAACGAAATTAAAGCTAACTGCGTGGATTGTGATAAACAGGAACAAAACAATGGGTCAGTGAAGTCGATCTAATGTTTTTCCAAACTTGCCTACACCCACAATGTTCGCCGTCCGTCACGTTAATATGGCTAACGCAGCCTTTTCATGGTAAGTCCAGTGGGCTTACTGGTTCTTTAAAAATAAAAAAATAAAAAACTTCTCCAGCCTGCCTACATTGGCTACTAAGAGCTAATTCAAATTCTCACATTCACCTATTTTAAACAAAGAGCTTAGTCTGTCACTGGACAAAGGGGAGGCTTGGCCAGAAAGGAACTTCATTCATGGAGGGCAGACAGTGAATTACAGCCACCCACAGAAAGGACGAGGACGTTTCTCTGACTTTAAGCCAAGAGCTTAAACTGTCTCTACTTAAACTTTATTTATCAAACCAACGTAAACCTTACAGAGTGCCAACTATTCACATTAAACAGGCCGTCTTAGTCCCCACTGATTTTAATATAAAAGGCTGATCATGCACATTTCTGTTCTGTTGTTTAACTAGGATCGTTGTGCTCGCTGGTGACATAGAGTTCAGCTCCAAAGTATTCATTCAGCCGACATTTTGAGATCTAAAGTACTATTTACATTTTGTTAAACATTTGTTCAGACTGGACGTAGCAGTAGCACTTTAAAGTGACCCTTGTCCTGAAGAGAATCAGCAGAGCGAGTAAAATGTTAGGGTGTAGGCAGAGAGCTCATCCAACCTAAAACCTTGGAGTTCATAACATCTGAGATTGGCTGAAAATACCAGTGGAAACATAAGGTTTCATTGATTGATTATTGAGAAAGGAATTAATTGTTGCTAAAATGATTATAAGCATTGTTTTTTTTATTATTAATATGGTTTTCATACCATGTCTTATTAAGCTTTCCAGTTAGATACAAAGTTCCCAGTTAAAAGGCTATTAAGAGGCTAAGACCTTCCTTCTGGCTGTGATTGGTCATTTCTGACCCAAAGAAGGCATTCCTGCAGATGGCAGGACCACTGGAAGGAGGTGGAGGAGCTCAATTGTTTTCTCAAATTATTTGTCTTGTACCATGCTGTCATAAAATAGTGAAAGTTAAAAAAAAAAGTCATTACAACATTCAAAGCAAACACATAACAGTATAATAATGACAAAATGCTGGTGTTTCTGTTGTTTTGTACAACCAGCAAACCATACACGTGCATTTTACTGGGGTAAGATGAAGTATATTAAACAAAAAATGGCAGGTAGTTTTGTTGTGTGATTTTTATTTTTCTCTTAAACAAAGTGGCTGCAATAAGAAAAGAAAAGCTACATAAACCAGAACACATGGTAGCACATACAGCTAGTTTAATGTAGCTAACCAGCCAGTAGGTAAACGGTCACTACGTAAGCATTACTCAAACAAAACTGAAAAAAAGCTCGAGTAGTTTTTGTTATCTCTTCACTACTCATCTGTAAATGAGCTAATTCGAAGTTGGATGACTTGCGTTTTTCCAGCTTTTGGGCGTTCTCCATCACGAGTTAGCCAAATTAGCATTGCAGTTGTTTCCACAGTTAAGCTATATTGGGATGTTTACCTGTACTGCTTTACTCACCTTTATTCGGTGCGACTTTACCAGATGCATGTTCAATGCAGGCGTGTTGGGGAGAATCTTGCCACATCCTTCCACGGTGCAGAGGATGTTCGTCCTAACTTCTTTGGTCAGCTCGATGATGGTGGGTTTTATTATTTCCCGACACTGCGGCACAGGCTCCTCGCAGCATTTCACGCCGCCTGCAGTCGAGTTATGCCTGCTGTTTGCCTTGGCCGTTGCAGAAACGGCCATGTTTCTGTGTTGACAGTCCATTCTGTTTCGCACAGAGCCCCCCCAGCAGGAGCATTGAATGAACAGGGGCATGACGTCCCTCCGCTTTGACTGAAAGGGACCTTAGCATGGGGTAAACGTCCCCTCAGCTTTGACTGAAAGGCGTCTCAGCCAATCACCACTTACTACGATGACGTTAACAAAGCGGAGCTTCGTCACGTCCAAGACAACTTCCAAACTTCCGTTTTGTAAAGTAGGACTGACTTTTTTTCAGTTAGACCCTAATTAAAAGCATAAATGTTAACTAAACAAATAATAAAGAGTTAAAAGAGTGGGCAATTCTTAGAAATTTTCAGATCTTTTAATAATTTGTTTCGAAAAATATGAGTTCCTATGTAGTTACTTCAATTTTTCATTAATACTTTGTACCTTTTTTTTGCATAATCAAAACTTTTGAAAAATGTTTTAAACAAAGCAGATGCTTATTTATTTAGTAACTTTACATGAGCAACCCATAGTTTTCTCATGTGTAACTGCTACTGTAGGCCTCATCTTTCACCTTGTCTGACGAAGCAATTGAAACAAAAGTAACAATACTCATAACACGCTTGAGTTACAAAAAAATAATAGATTTTTGATGCATGGTGTAATACTATAAAGGAATGTCAATACATAGTTTATTACTGGAACCAAATCTGCTCTATAAGTTAATATTGCAGTAATACAGAACATAGGAAACAATGTTTTGTTTTAAAACCATGCCTTTTTATTACACTTAAACAAAACTGCAAATCCAAAATCACATCTAAATTTCATTACATAACAGAAAAAAACTGCAGTGTTAATTTATTTCTTTTGGATATGGAATAAAAATATGACTTTATTCCAATTTTTTGCTAAAACATCCACTTTAATAGACAACTATAAAATGCATGTTATATATATATATATATATATATATATATATATATATATATATATATATGTTTTTTTTTCAAAAATACACATCTATTTTTTTTTTTAAAAAAAGAGAAACTTATTAAAATGGTCTGGTTTAAACTAAATTTTCTATGGACAATAAGTTACCTGAAAGTGTGGGAAAAGTTGTGAATCATTCCAGTAGGGGAAAATTTTAAATCAGGGTTGTGTCTGGCACAGTTATGATTAAGCAGTAGGAACATTGTCGGTAATGACAAAATAATTCCTGCCTTTTAGAGGAATAGACGACAACAAGGGTGTGACAGGGGTTGAGGCAATTCCTGCAAAGTGGAAGAAAACATAAGAGAGAGTTAGGCTGACACTAGAAAACTGCAAAACTCAACTTATTGTCTTTTAAAATAAAAATAAAGTCTTCCTGTTTCTAAAAATATTTTAAGTTCATCAATACAAGATGTGGCTCATTCAGTTAGAGTCAAACAAGCACGGTGGTTTCTACAAAAAGTGTGTGCCCTCTTGTGGACATATTTAGAGAACTGCATGTGCTGAGAAAAGTTTTCAAAAAAATATATATATTACATGTATAATTTTCTTTATGGCATGTCTAGTACCTGAGGATGCACAATGTCTGAGTGATTCAAGGAGGTTGGAACTTGAAAATTTAACACTGCATATGAATGGCTCATCCCGTTGTGTCATGGCTTCATTAGTAGGGTCTTTGAATTTTGTTTCCAGCTAAAAGAAAAAAACAACAGCAAAAAAACAGAAAAAATATCAAATAAAAGCAAGATTACATTTCTGTGTCAAACATGACCTATATTCAATTATTGTGCATTTTACCTGAAAGAATGCAGACTGTAGTGCAGGTAACATCCCATCGCCGAACGTTTCTCCCGCCATTCGATGTCTGCTTGCTGATGCCTCAGCTTGCACTTTTTCAATGCGCAGCTCTAAATGTACACAACCAAGCACGCAAACGGCAAAATTGCAATGTTAAAGAAAGCAAGATATCCAACATAAATAGATTGCCTGGAGATAATTCCACTCAACATACTTGAAATGCTTTGGTCACTCTCTGGAAGAGGGCTGGGATACTTTGTTGGAAACACCTAAAGAGAGAGAAAAAGTTAAATCAGATAATTCTCTAACAGAATTGTTCATTTGTGGTTAAAACAACTCCAAGAAACCGGCAAAAAAATAATAACATTAATCTTAAACTACTGGAGGGTTTTGCTACCTCATCAGAGGAGGCTGGCTTACTTGTTGGTACTGCCTCATCAGCAGGTCCCTGAGAGCGGTCAGCTTCTGTCCACTCAGGTTAGCAGCCTTAATTTGTTGATGTTTAGTGGACAAAGTCAAGGCCTGCAGCAAAAATAACTTTTAGAAGATGGAAAGTACTTAAAATGCACACACACAAAAAAATAGTTTTTCACCTCACCTGCAAGAGCAGAGGCTTATTCTTTGAAGACAAAGCATTAACAAAAACATAAGGGGTCTGGAGATAATGAACAACATATGTTGCTTTCAGGTGGTTGGGCCGAGACAAGCCGTCTCCCCAGGCAACTCGGATCCAGACAGCTTCGTCTGTGTGCTTCTTAATTTTGACCGACACCTTTGATCAAAACCAAAAAGACATCATCGATATTTCAAATAGAACGTTAAAGACAAATGCAACCGCAAAAGTGTTTTTAGGCTCACATTTCTTTTGAGCTCACTGAGATGGGATTTGAATTGTTCCTTAAACTGCATTAGCTCCACAGAGTGAGCGTCATCTGTGAACACACAAAAAAAAAAGAAGAACAGATAGAAAGTGGTTAAATCTCATTTAAAGGATGTAAAAATACGAACAATTATTTCAGCAGTAAAATTCCAAATTGATGGTCACACTGTAATGTCTATTCATCTTTAAAGATATGAGCTATATTTTACAAAAGATGCCCAAACTGATATTTATTTACTATGGATAAACATAACATCTTTTTTAAATGCAAAAATATAAAATATGTGATATTGAAATTATATTTATACTGGTGCACATTATGACCTAGATTTCAGCAGATTAACAATTGAAATATCAGTTCCACTTTTTTTTTTTAGATAAATTAAAGCAAGCCATCAGGTTTTAATATTTTAAAGTTATAAGGTGGATAATCTTGTTCTGACCTACCCTCAGGATCCAAAAGCTGGAAGGTGTGCCACATTCCCTGGTTTGGATTCTCAGTGACATCTAAGACAATGAAACCAAAGTTAAATATTAAGTTTTACTGTAGTCCATTAATTAAATAACTAACAGCAATGGTTGCAGTTATAAGATTGTGTTCAGACTGCCAAAAGTTATGTTTCTTTGACTATATGCAAATAATGTTGCTACACACTGGTACTTAAGTGCTGACTATGACAACTGTATTTTTGGGCTTCGCTTTGCTTCACTTTCTTTTGTCAAATAAAAGCCTCTTCACTTATCTAATCTAAAATTAGATTTAATGGGCAACAAGTGTCCTATTATAACTAAAGTGAGTTTTTTTTTAATTAAGGTGAACTAAGTAAGTCTGTATCCAGGAAAACCAACTTTAAAAATAAACAGTCTGTCCATCTTCCTTCAAGCATCGGTACAATTTTACAACAGGTTTGTATGAATGGCTCTAAGAATAAATGATAGTTCCCTATGAATCCTATGCACCATCTAAACACTATTTCCATAAAGGGAGAAGAAGCAGAGGTGTCTGAAAAGAAAAAAAAATAAGTTTGATTTTTCTTTCATTGATAAAATCTGCATGCATTTTTTTTTACAAAGGTTTCTGTAAGATAATACATGAAAAAGTATCGCAAAGTCAAAACCACAGTTTACGAACTGTACTTACATATCATCTCCAGTTCTGTGATGTGTTTTACAGTCAGTTCACTTTCCTGTTAAGAAAAATTAGCAATTAAAAACAATAATATCTATTGTTCATTTGAACTAATATCACATTTACATACAATAGGTGCTGTTGCTTAATCGCACAACAATGTGTTTAAAACATAAACGAATATTTATACACCTTATTCAAGAGAATAAGCTTCAATATACCTCACAAAGGGCGACTAGTTCTTGGGTTATGGTCCATTTTGACTGAGTGAAATCTAAGGATTTTCGCTTTTCTGCGGTCAGACGCCCCCATTTGTCCAGAGTGGATTTAAGCATCGAAGCAGGGATCCGTCGCATCAGTCGCTGCAGTAAGTGTTTCGCCAAATTATCCATATTTCCTTAGGCAACAAATAAAACCCAACCCGCGTACTATAAAACTGTATTTGTATTGTTTAACAGACGCGTTAGCAACTGTGAGCTACTGAAACACTCCAAACAAACCGCCTCTGCCACAGACAGGATGAATCAACCAATCAGAAACTAACAACAAGCGTTCTATGTGTGCTTTAGCGCTCTCTGGTGAGTCGGAGTAGTATTGCTTTTAACATTCCCGTTTCCGACTATACTAAAGTCAGTGCGAATGAAAAGGTTGAAAAAAAAAAAACACAATATTGTTTCTTATCCCAAATAGGCAGACCAATTTTGATTAATTTACATATTTAACTGTCTAAAAATCACATTGATAAATTCATATTTTATAATTCAATACTATTTTTTTGTTGATTTATGAATGAAGCGATAATTTCCATAATGTAAAAACTGCTATAAATGATAAATTTTCGCTCCTTGTTTAATATGGTATGATTAAAAGACTTGGCCTTTGCCTATTGTTCGTTGTTGACTACTTTCATTTATCCTTTGTTTACTTCATTTTGTAACGTTGACTTTCTAATAAAGTTTGATAAATAAAAAAAACTAAATAAACTCAAACGCCAGAGCAAACTTAAATATAGATTTTTATCTAAACCTGTAGCATTAAAAAGAAAGCAAACTCGGATACAAGTAGTAGATACTTCTCTTGCATTTCCTCCAAACCTTTGAACCCGCCTTTTCTTGATAAAACGCACACGATTGGTCAAAATTAAATAAACTCGGACGATGATTCGTTGTTTGCTCTGTCCCACAGTGTTTGTGCCAAAAGTTATGAAAGCGTTGTGAGACTCTCCAATGTCCTACAGCTCCACGTCTTTCAAGGAGATTGTACTTGTTTCTGCTCTAACGTTGATAATAGATAGTTAAACCAGACCAGGTATTGCATCGAGTTACAGATTTGTTGTTTCTGGAGTGCTAATACGTTGTTTCGTGAATGTAAATATGTGTGTTGCTTTAGCTAAGGCCTAGCTATTAGTTAACCTGACATTAGGTCGCAGTGTGCTGGGAAGGTTCTCAGAAGACACATCTTTAAATCTGGTAAGTTTTATTCAGCTGACAGTGCTCAGTGTCTTCAAATAGCTTAGAAGATTTACAGTATTAAAACAAACGGTTTCTAGAGACCCTTGTCATTTCTTCCGGTCCCTTACTACTGCTATAAATCTACACGATGAATGTAGATGGGCAAAATGTTTCATCGGTATGTTCTAGGGTATAATAATCTCCAATGGATTAAAGACTGCGTTTCTAGTCAGAATAGAAGTTAAAAGATCAAAACTAACTATTTCTCTGGACAAATATAATGCATTTGTGCAAGCAACAATAAGTGTCAAGCTTTTCTAGTAATACTTGTAAATTAAGATGTAATTAGACCTACGATAACCACCATTTAATGTCACTTTTTCGTAAAAACATATTTGCCCGATATTTCTATTTTGATTAATCTTGACATCAATCAACACACCTAAACTGCCTCTTCATAGTGACTGTCATTTTTCTCATGCATGTGTGATGGACATTCAGATTCAGCCCTCTTTCACACCAATATAAGCCCACGCTACAGTCTTCCATCACTTCCATGATCATTTTATTCTGTTTGGCAAATTGGAATTTTAAAAAAAAAAAAAAAAAAGATAAGAAATTTGCTGCTGCCTTCTTATTACTCATTACAAAGCCCCTCCCTTCAACTTTATTCATTTTTACAGCAACCATGCTCAATTTGGAGGACTTGGAGCACTTCCACACACTTCCACAGCCTTGTTTCACTGGGGGCTCAGCACCTACTGATTTCTTTGTACGAGTTGCCTGATCACGGCACTGTTACTTGTTGGTGGTGGAATATGATGTGGATAGCAGCTGAACTGACAAGAGAGTTGCAATAAACAACGTTAAGGGTTGCCAGAAGGTCCGGTTATCATCAGGGTCACATCCGAGCATGCTAAACGTGAAACGGAGGAAAGTCACGCTTAACATGCGTGTGTTTATTTTGACTAGGATGAGGCGATGTCTCCCATTTCACTTCTGTTTGATGACTTGCTGTACGCAGTGTTGCATGTTCGTGTCTTATGTTTCTGCAGGTAAGTGTCCGCAGGGAAGTCGGTCGTCACAATGACAGAGCAAGAAGGAGAGGGTTGGGGTGGCATTAGTATCCTTTAGAAGACCTCTGGCAGTACTGTGGTTAATGTAAATGTAATACTGGAAACAGTGAGGAGAACCAGCCATGCTTCTCCAGAGTACTAACTAGGAAGGTTTCGTGGTGCTTTTCAGATGTGCGGTCTTATTCTTAGGGCCACCTTTGTTTGTTGTTTTCAGCATTGCTGCAGTGGTTCCTTGACTCAGAATGCACCCTGACCTTTCACCTCACCTGCACACAGATGAGTGCAATGAACTCATAAGCCTCCTGCGACAGTGCCACAAAGAGGTGAGCCGCTTCTCTACCTTGTTTTCTCGCCACCCGTTTCTTCACTAAGCCACGTAATCTCTTCATGTCTCCATCAGCACAATGTCATGAAGTTCTTTGGCACATGTAATGACGCCGACCGTGCCATGCGTCACTGTCTGAAGAAAGAGGTCAGTCAGTTTGTTTTTAGTTAATTATGAAACGGTATGTAAAAAGTGCCATGGTATTCATTTTATTTTGCTCATTATTTTCTCCTGTGTCTCTTGATTCCTTTCGTTTCACAGCGATTGGAAAAACGAGAGCGCAACAAGAAGCACGGAGAAGAAATGCGAAAGAGGATAAAGGAAGGACCCAAGCAGTTTTAATACATCCACAAACATTTGGACATAAAAGTGAACATGAGACCGTGAACAAGGCTCCCATGACTGGTTTTCTGTCAACACAGAGGAACAGTGGTGGTTATGTTTCTCTGTAAATTTGAAGTGTGGTTTATAATATTATTTACAGCTGATTGCACCATCATCTGTTGCACAACTGTGTCGTTTGTTTGGTTGGTGCAGAGTTTCTACCTCCGTAATTACAGAGTAGATATTGGAATCTGCTCTAAGAGCGGATACCAAAACATGCAGGTCAGTTGGAGAAAAAAATCATCTAGCTTTTCAGATATACACTGTCTTTCTCTTACTTCTCTAATGTTTAATTGATCTTAGATTTTTTTTTTTTTTTTTACTTTATTTTAATGTGATGGTTCCAGTCGTCGTACTTGTTGACTACACCGCTCAGGAATCTCTCTCCCGCTGACAAAGATGTTTATTGTTATGAGAATTTGTTGAATGGGGATTTAGATTGTTTCCAGATTTTTTGTTTTTAAATAAAATGTCAAATTCTCCATTTCAAAACTCAAATTTGCAATAACTAATTCAGTCAATAACACACTTGTCCCGTCCATTGATATATATATATATATATATATATATATATATATATATTACATGGCTCCAGCTATTTCAGTGGAAAAACAGCATTGTGATGTTCTCCCGTATGAGTAAGATTAATAACCCTTTAGAGCCTGGTATAAAAATGTCTGAAAATTTCAATTGAGATGCCTTCAGCAAAACCTTTGATTCTTGCAGATCTTCAGATCATTGCCACTTTAGGCTTTTGCATCCATGTAATTAACAAACACTTTGTAGGCATTTTAAGACATGCGGCAACCCTTTTTGTAAAACTATTCGCAATCTGTTTACACTACCGTTTACATTTTGTTGAGCGTGTGAAATATATTTAGCTGATGATGTTTGAGGCAGCAAGATTTAAGAAATGAAAACCATTTTCACAGGTAATGGTTTTGACATTTTCACCTCTTCCTCCCACAACTGGGAGGCAATCCTGTGATGGCACTGATAAATGTCAGGTCTGACATTGACTAAACTTGATAAAATAGGTATGAATAATAGTATGTAGTGTATTTATTTGTCATTTCCCAGAAAATCAAACCCTGTATTACGTTAAAAATGTGTGACTGAGATGAGAACAGTAGGATTTTCTCAAAATCCAAACAGATTAAAGGTCACACCACGTTCAATTTGGCAGTCGGGGATCAGACCACAGACCCAAATGACATCAAACTGAACCCGTCCACTCCCCACGAAGGGTGGGATTCCCACACGGCTTGCTTGGACTTTGCCTAGGAAGAACCCACAGGACTTTACTCAAGACCTACATGTAAGGTTAAGTAACTGGTTCCCTTTATAGGATCCATCATAAGTATAGTCCAATTATCCTTGTTCTGGCCTCTTCCCTCGAACAAAGCTTCTTGGAAAAGCCTTTGAGCTCGTAGCTTCAGATCTCTGGATTATTCAAGTCGGGTATGGTCTGCAGTGAGAAAAGAGCAGGTTGCTCCGTCTGTGTTGGGAGTGAGTTGTTGGCTTAGGCAGGGTTAGCTGAAATGTTTGCAGTTTTGTGAATAAATAATTGTAAAATAGAGAGAATGATACATTGGAGGAACATGTGCAATAGATATGTTTCGTCCATTCTTTTTTTTTCCTCTTGACTTTTCCATCTAAAGCATTTGTCATAGATAGATTTATTTGACAAAAAAAAAAAAAGCATTTATTTGAAAATGCTTAAAGTACTTAGCCAAGTTTCATCAAAGATCCAAATCTGCTTTATGAGTAAAAATACGCTTGTGGTCATATTTGTTGGAAGATTAAACATGACCCTGGCAATAAGAGAGAAACATTTAGTAGATTAATCCAAATTTCTAATTTTGAGATTTTTTTAGTGAACATCTAAGCTTTAAAGATTTTTCTTTTCGATGTACATAAACAAATTGTGCTGCAAGGGCCGCATTTGTTCCACCAAATGACCCACGGACCACATTCTGGACACCGTGCAGTACAGGTTTGATTTTGTCAAGAGAGATATGGCCAAAAACAATTGTATCTCCACATCTCATCTACTCATGAAATATGGAGATTGACTGCAAGGACAAGATTACCTAAAAGGCGGGGCAGGTATTTTAGGCATCTGGTTTGGAAACCTTCACAACATCAGCCAAAGTGGTGCTTCTGATTGGTCCCTCAGGGAGAGAGGGCCTCGGGGCTGGCACTTCTCTCCTGGATAGATTGCACCTCCAGGTTGACCTGGGGAACTAAAATACTAAAAGCTGTCACAAAATGACACACAGGTTTATGTGAAGCAATCCAACACACTGTAGTAAGGAGTAGAAAAGCTAAAGGAAACCTCTGGTGAGCAAAAAAAAAAAAAAAAAAGGGGGTTGAATTTTGTCAAACACACTATCTAAACAAAAAGAGGGAAGCAATCCCCCAAA